CAGCCGCCTTTGTCTCCCCAATGCCCACGTTTACACATTGCACCAAGTATTAATTTAATGCTGAGTCGATCTACACCGCGCATGCACTGACACCACACACGACTATAATTTGCCTTCACGCTAAAATGTTGAGTTGCAGTCTGGGGCAACACGAACCCCACAGCGTGAATCCCCCTCAACTGGGGGTCCCCTCGCGGTGCCTCGTACACTTGGCACGGTCGTTAGAGACGCGTTGGTGGATTGACGTGGCTCTCGGGTCGTGATGATGCTTCTCTTCCACAGGGGCCGGAGCTGATCGAGATGGCCAAGGGCTTGCACGGTTTCATGGACTGGGAGCGCTGCCTGCTGACCGTAAGCTCCGCACACTCACGGCAGCCCGGTGCGCGAGTGACCTCATTGGATTCCCAATGATCGAAACGTCGTGATTGTTTTTTTGTTTTAATATAATTTTACTGTATTTCTACATACGTGACTTTACCGAAAAAAACAATGAGTAATTTTATGCAGTCACGAAAGCTTTAATACTTTATTATCACACTTCTACGGGGAAGTTACCGTTGTAATTATGTGTAAGATGTGCCCTTTTTTGAGCTGCAGTTTTGTATTTACAAGAGGTGGTCATTTTTTGAGCTGCCGTTTTGTATTTACAAGAGGTGGTCCTTTTTTGAGCTTCCGTTTTGTATGTGTAAGATGTGCGTGTTTGAGCTGCCGCTCTCGCTCTGGCCCCTCCCCCCCTCCAACCGTATTTCCTATTTAAGCTTCTGTTCATCCCTCCGGCCCCCCCCCCTCTCTCTCTGCCTCCCTGTCCGTCTTTCCTCCCTCCTTACCTCTTGGTGGACTTGTATATGTATTTCTACTGACCGTGTACCTCGTATTTTTCATTCTATCTATGCTGGTATGGGCAATCCAAAGGTTGAACACGAAATTTAACACTCTTCTGAAATTCGTGGTCCGCCAGGAAGTGTCTGTGTTGTTGGCCTGACTGGATGTGCTTCACATAATGTTTTTTCAGGTTTGTTGAATTCTCGTCTCTCATCGTTTTGTTGTATTTACCTCCGTGTTTTTTTCTTGACACCTGATGAAGATCGCTTGCGTTGTGATCGAAACGTCGTGATTGTTTTTTGTTTTAATATAATTGTATTGTATTTTTACATACGTGACTTTACCGAAAAAAACAATGAGTAATTTTATGCAGTCACGAAAGCTTTAATACTGATGGTGCATGTTATGTCACGTGGACTTGTGTAAGGCAGCTGGTAAAAATGTATAAATTGTTGGTAGTGATCAGGGTGCACAAGTATCCTGCTGTTTTAAACTGGGCAGAGTCGTACATGTTAAAATACCACGTCCTGATAAGAGGCAGGGACTGTGATTTTAAGGTCAGTCGATGTAAGAAACCGCAATTTTGGTCATACTATCCTGAATATGGACTTTCCACTGATGCGTTTCTAACCAGGCCACGTTTATGAGTTTGGATTGTCGGCGGACTTCAGGGCCACCCTCCGGATAATGGTGTCATTCTGCAACTAAAGTTTAATGAAGGGACCATCAACAAGAAACATTTACCGAGGCAACAGGAATAGCTGAAACTCACACCGCTTCCTGCGCAGGACAGCGGCGGCTTTCAGATGGTGTCTCTGGTGGAGCTGGCGGAGGTGACGGAGGAGGGGGTCCGCTTCTCATCTCCATACGATGGCCGCCACATCCTCCTGACGCCCGAAGCCTCCATTCACATTCAGAATTCCCTGGGTGAGAGGTCTCCATCCACATTCACATTGCCCTGGGGAGCTCCCTGCATTCACCTTCACAATGCCCTGGGAAAGCGACACTGCCTTGAAGGGAATGCTCATGCAGAGATACAGACGGCCCTGTGGTGCCACCGGGCTGTGATGTAGTGAAGAAGTGCGTGCTGTGTATCTCCGGATGTGGCATAGTGACGAGGTGTGTGCTGTGTGTGTGAGGATGTGGGATAGTAATGAGATGTGTGCTATGTCAGGCTCTGACATTATGATGCAGCTGGATGATGTGGTGAGCAGCACGGTGACTGGGCCACGTGTAGAGGAAGCCATGTGGAGGTGAGGGTGCTGTCACACGGTGTGTTCACTCATCATTGTGTGATGCGGTGTGTTCACTCATCAGTGTGTGATGTGGTTTGTTCACTCATCAGTGTGTGACACGGTCTGGTCACTCATCAGGTCAGTGCGCTGGTTGGATCGCTGCATTGCAGCGAACAAGAACCCAGACTCCCAGAACCTGTTTGCGATCATCCAGGGCGGACTTGACCCCGATCTACGGCTCAAGTGTCTGCAGGGTATGCGGCGCACGCCAGGCCACTGAGGATCTGGTGCTCGCTTCGTGAAGTCCGCCCACACAGTCACTGAGTACCAGTGGCACCCTGGCTACCCTCTAAACAAGATATTGAATGCACTCATGGTCGCCCTCCGGGATGAAGATGGAACCATATCATGATAGAGACATTTATAATGAGTACAGAAAACAAAAACAAATCATATGTCCCAGGAACAAAATAAATGTTCCCGTAAAGAAGAAGTTCCAGATGTCACATTGTGGTCAATGCCACCACCTAGAGTACAGAAAACACTCCTGGGCCATACACTCAGAGCATATGGTGGCAGCAAACATTGATGCCTGTACTGTACGAATGAGTCTTAATGAGCACGAGATCGGTCTCCAGTGATACCTTTGTTCCATTGTTACCTGTTGTGAGTTTCTTTAAGATGACACAATGGTTGCATACCCAGTTCTTAACCGAACTGTAGGCCTGAATCAGGCTGATCGAGCCGTTGTGCTTGCAAGACACATCTTTATGTGTTGTTTGAACTGTTTGGTTTTTGTTGTGATGGATTTCCTCATCGTTTATAGAACTGAATTCGAGGGGTAGATGTACAGGACAGGCGGTCCTCGCTTTTACGACAATGCGGTCCTGGAAACCCCGTCGTGAAATTGGATACTAGTCAATCGGACCATCGTAAACTGCTTTTATTGAGTGCCTAAAAATGTATTTCTTGCTGCCCCTGCTGTTGGCACAGAGATGAGCAAGCGCGACGTGCCAGGCTTCGCCATCGGGGGCCTGAGCGGCGGAGAGGAGAAGCAGCTGTTCTGGAGAGCAGTGAAGCTGAGCACCGAGCACCTGCCCCGCGACAAGCCCCGATACCTCATGGGCGTAGGGTGAGCCACGTGCCACAGAGCCCCGAGCCTGCCCTGAGAGCACTGCGGACGCTCAGCGAGTCGCCTTCCGCTCCGGCTGATAGGATGCACTTCCACTCGGCTGCTCGTGGGCGTGCAAGCGCAGCGGGCCAGCGCGCTGTGCTACGGACCTGGCAACCCGAGTTCAGTTCCCGCTAACGGCCAATGACACTGGTGAATATTTGAACTGGTCCTGGGTCGTCTTGACCTCCAAGTTACAAGCTTTATTTGTTGAATCAGGTGAGATCTCATTCAAAAGAACAACTTACAATGAGAGCCTGGCACGGTGCGGGAACATCACCACTGGGGAAAGCGAGTTGGCCGGGCGAGGCGCCACCTCGATGTCGGCACGGTGGAGGTTCTCAGTGCCCCTCTTCTGGTGTGTGAGGCTACATGGGAGGGTGGTTGTCTCTGTGTGCGGTGCAGCTACGCCACGGACCTGGTGGTGTGCGTCGCCCTCGGCTGTGACATGTTCGACTGCGTATTCCCCACTAGGACAGCCGTGAGTACTCCTCCCCACTCGGACAGCCTTGAGTATGCCTCCCCACTTGGACAGCCTTGAGTATGCTTTTCCACATGCATGGCGATGAGTACACCTCCCTACACGGACAGCCGTGATTACACCTCCCCACTGAGACAGCCGTGAGTACACCTCCCCACTCGGACAGCCTCGAGTACGTCTTCCCACTCAGACAGCCGTGAGTATGCCTCTCCACTTGGACAGCCGTGAGTTCACCTCCCCACTCGGACAGACTTGAGTATGCTTTTCCACACAGACCGGCACCGATTTGCACCGCCGCCCAGCACCACTGCTGCGTAGCAGGGGCAGAATGGGTGGCAATCCCTGGCCTGCTCCCCCTGATGCAAGGCCATGACCTAGCAGGGGCCTGTGGACAACCGTGTGTGGGAGTTAGTCAAGAATATTCGTAACCCCCAAATGTGCATTCTGTCTCGGTCCGCACACCCCTAACGATGGCACTGGAGATAACTGCCGACCTCTATGTTTACGTCCAATCCCTACTCTCGCAAAACAGGTGGTTCCTGATTATTGAGTGAGACGTCGTAGTTTGGAGTTGGTGATGTTCATCGGTAACGGACGTGTGCTATGCTGTGTAGAGATTTGGCTCGGCGCTGGTGCCATCCGGCTCTCTCCAGCTGAAGAATAAGACGTTCGCCAAAGACTTCGCTCCCATAGATGACCAGTGCACTTGCCCCACGTGCAAAAGGTCAGTGTTCATTCTGTCGGCATCAGGTCCTGTGCGGTACGGAGACAATTCAACTATTTAAACTTTTTATTTTTCTAGGTCTGAAGGCCCACTTAGCTATTTAGCTCTTTTTCAGAAGCGATCTGGCCACAAATTATAGTTTAACAACGTGGATTATCACGTGGAAATTTATCGTAGCAAAATACTCTAAACGCATGTTGATTCTAAATATGGAGGGAAAAGCCGGAGGACCCGGAGAAAAGTCCACGCGATCACGGGGAGAACATGCAAACTCCAAATATACAGGTGTCAGGGTTGGGATCTAACCCATAACCTCCTGTATACCAGGCTAGGTAGTTAATATATCACCATTGCAGCGCCCAAATTGCAGTTGTGCCATGAACACCGGGGATTGCAGCGGCACGTGTCAAGTTCTGTTATCTGCTGCACACTTAATTCATAAATGTTTCCTTCAGAATTCACTTTAACCACAACCATTTGTTTTTTTAACAGATTAATATCGATGCTGTTTGGTGGCGGTTGTGGCCCAGATTTCACTGTAGGATGTCTATTAACTTATCAGTTACAATGCATCCAGAAGTAGATATCATTTGTTATGGGACCAGTTGTGGAGGACTGCTATGAATTTAGCCAAAGTAACCTTGACCTCTGACAATTGAGAATCGGCGAGACGTTTTAAATGATTTCCAGTAATTTCTCAATGCGCTGCCGAATGAAGGCTTTTAACATTGTCTGGGTCACAGCGGATGGTTGATTGACCGTACTTCACCACGCTGGTCAGTGCAGATTTGTGATGGAATCACGGGCTTGACTTGTGCGTGTGGTTCTCCTCTCCCAAGGTGTTCAAGAGCGTTCCTGCACGCGCTGTTCCGGAGCGACCCCGCGGCGTGCCACCACGTCACGGTGCACAACATCGCCTACCAGGTACGCACCCAGCGCCACACGCACTTCCAATCGTTCTCACGCTCCACGCTACTCCACTTGTTCTCACGCTCCATGCTCCTCCACTCGTTCTCACGCTCCACGCTCATCCACTCGTTCTCACGCTCCATGCTCCTCCACTTGTTCTCACGCTCCATGCTCCACTCGTTCTCACGCTCCACGCTCATCCACTCGTTCATACACTGCACGCTCCTTCACGCGTTCTCACACTGGACAGTCTACATGCTGTTTGATTGGTAATTGCACGTGTGTTTGATAAACTTCAGTAACCTTCAACGATTTAATAATGAGCAATATCTAGTGGTAGGGGAATGCGGGGACAGGTCCTAGTTCAGGTAGGGGAACTCAATGGGAGCGAGGATGGGAATCGCTGGCCTCTCTCTCCATAGCGAGAAGCTCATCTCACCGGCCACCCACCGGTGCTCGTGCCCCAACACTTGACGCGCCGTGCCTCTCCTCCCTGGACAGCTGTCGCTGATGAGCGCCGTGAGGGACAGCATCGTGGAGCAGCGCTTCCCGGACTTTGTGCGCGGGTTCATGGCCCGGCGGTACGGCTCACGCGACGCCTACCCACACTGGGCCGTGGACGCGCTGGCATCCGTCAACATCGTCCTCCCATGAGGCGCGCTCTGTACGCATGCTCGTGGGCGATTTCAGCAATGTATTTTCACTGCCAGATCTTGTCTGATGGCGCGCGCCTCGACACACAGCCCGTTTCTAAACGTGCAGCGCGTTTTCGTTCCCACGCGTGTCTGTGTAGCCGCTGTGGTTTGATGAGGACCGTTGCAGCATCGATGACCCCTCCCTGCTGCCTTGTCTGTATGCAGCATACGCGGCCCTCCCCACAGCCACGTTCACATCAAATGCGGTCCATTGGCTGTAAGAGGTGATATTATAATCGGTGATATTTTATACTGTGTAAGTAGTCCCGAGTTCACGTTATCTGGTGCACTGCTCTGTTTTAACGAGTTGCAATGATCTAATTTAAAATAAACGTCGATGCCTCCCACGTGTTTACGCATTTCTTCACGCGCGCGTGATGACACATCCTCCTCGTCACCAAGTGTTTGCAAGGCAACTTCAACCGGGTCAAACCCCAGGGATCAGAACGTCCTGGGTCAAACTCTGCTGCTCCATCTGGGACTTATTTTTGTCTTCATTGTGGCCCTCCCACTTCCACCCATCACGAATTCTTCAGCAAGGCAGACGGTTCTATTGAGGGCGACAATTGACATGACTCTGCCTCTGTATATACACTGTGCCTATCCTTGCAATTGAAATGTTTATTCATGAAGATATGGTTAAATGTTATCATACAAACAAAAAAACATGGTCACATATTTTTCGTAGGCCCTAGGCACTGTCTACTGTGCCGATTGGATAATGCAGCCCGGACCACGGAGAGAACATGTACACTCAAAATATACAGGCATTGTCAGGGTTGGAATGGGTCACCAGCACCATGCCTGGCCGCCTTTGTCTCCCTCGTGGTGATCTTTACACACCACACATGCACTCATTTGAGGCTGAGTAGACGTAGAAGAGGCCCAAAACCGGTTCTGATAATCGTCACTGCTTTTGGCCATGAGCGGAGAATCAAACTCGGGTCGCCAGGTTCGTAGCGTGGTATGCCAACACCTCCATCTGAATGGCTTCATGAACGAATCTTTGCTGATAGCTAGTGTGTTTGCAGAGTACCTTCGTCTTGGCAAAATCAATTTCGTGTGTGCCCACCACGTTTAAATAATGATCAGCCACGGCTGAGGTATTGGTCCTACCATGTTTCAGGTCTGCCTTATGTTCACGAACACGGTCCGAGACATGTCGCTTAGTTTCCCCAATGTAACTACTGCCACAGACAGCTTAGTTTGTAGGCACCGGGGTATTGCATGTCAGGGATCACATCCTTCACAGATGGGATCAAATCACGAATTTTATGTACTGTGTTTCGTACCTGGATCTTGTGTTTGCTCACGATTTTGGAAATATTTTTGGTGACCCCTGCTATGTATGGTAAGGTGATGGTTTTGATTGGGTCCTCAGATGGTTCTTTCCCAATGGTTCGGGTGATAGCTTTACGGATTATGTAGTCTGAATATCCATTCTTCTTGAGGGCTTGGTGTATGTGCTCCAGTTTTCTGGCTAGGTGGTGATGGTCGGAAATACAATGAGCTCTATGGTATAGAGTTTTTTATGAGGGAATTCTTCTGGGATGGATGGTGGTGGGAGTCAGGTTTTAGGTAGGCATCCGTATGGGTAGCTTTCCTGTAGACAGTGTCCCATTGAGCAATCAGGTCTCTTTTGGATTAAAACATCCAATAATGGTAACTTGCCATCCTTTTCTACCTCCATGGTGAATTTGATGGCTGGGTGTATGGAATTTATGTGGTTGAAGAATTGGTTCAGAGCTGGCAGGCCATGTGGCCAGATGACGAACGTGTCATCTACGTATCTCTTCCACAAGGAAGGACGTAGGATGGATGTCTGGATGGCATCTGTCTCAAATTTTTCTATGAAAACATTGGCTACCACTGGACATAAGGGAGAACCCATTGGGGTACCTTCAACTTGTCTGTAGAATGTTCCATTCCAGGTGAAGTAAGTGTTGGTGAGGCAGTGTCTAACCAGGACCGGTACATCAGCATTCAGTCCTTTTTGGACTAAATATTCAATGATTGCAATGGTGTCAGGCACAGGAACTTTGGTAAACAAAGACACCACAATATGGTCGCGAAAGCCTACGTGTTAAACTGAAAGATACCACATTGAAACTGACAAGCAAATCACCTGGAGATAGTGAGATGTCCTTAATTGAAGATATCAAGTGATCTGAGTTAAGTACAGCTGAGGAGGTCTTACCGAATGGTCGCAAGGTCTCAGACAGAAATCGGGGCAGTTTGTAAGTGGTGAGCTAATAGTGGAGACGATAGGATGGAGTGGGGTACCTTCTTTACGGATTTTTGGTAAGCCATAAAATCTGGGTGGTCTAGCAGCAGAGTTTTAAGGAAAGCCACTTGGTTGGTTCGATTAAAGATGTCGAATCAGTGATGTTGGTTTTCGTAACCAGGCGGTTGGTAGGATCTCTATTAATTTTGGTATAGCTGCCATCATTAAGTAGGTCCTGAATTTTGTTATTGACTGGGTTCATGAACATAAGGCAGATCTGAAACACGGTAGGACCAATACCTCAGCCGTAGCTGATCATTATTTTAATGCAGTGGACACACACGAAATTGATTTTGCCACGACGAAGATACTCTGCAAACTCACTGGCTATCAGCAAAGATTCGTTCATGAAGCCATACAGATGTATAAACAAGGACACAATTTCAAACGAGAAGATGGGTACAAACTGAGCAATCATTGGAAGGACCTTATTAACCAGTTTAGGTCATAACTGGCTGTGATGTTCCCTTCCTACCTACCTATGTTAGCAGTTATTTTCGATTCTCTGAGTTACATTCACTAACACAGCTACCGTTAGCTGTTAGTAAATGGCGGCTTGCCATCCTTTTCCACCTCCATGTGGCGATGGCTCTTTCCTAGCTCTCTCCGAGCTTACATTTACAAGCATCTCTAAACCTTTGTAAACAGCTCATTGATTGGGGTAAACCTACTGCAGGTTACGGAGACCTCTCCTACATTAACATTAGCTGCCCTGCCCATCTCTAAACCTTTATAAACAGCCTGCCTCAGCAGCTTTCCCCCTCTTTTTCACCTGATGACGATTGCTTGTGTTGCGATCGAAATGTCGTGATATTGTTATTATTTGTATTTTTTTTCTATCTACGTGGCTTTACCGAAAGACCCAAACAATATAAAAAGAAAATAAGTATAAATCGGATTAATTGTTTATCAACGTGGAATGTTGGGGAAAATGCGTTAGCTATTTTGGATTCGTTTTTTGCTTCTTATAAGTTTGTAGTGATCACATGGGCACCAGGTCGCTGATGATTGATGGGTGAGGAGTCGCTGAAAAACTTAAACCACCATATAAATTAAATTACACTTTTAATTTAGCAAACTCAGGTAATCCTCGACCTAGATGATCCATCCACAGATAATACACCCACGAAACCGCGTACCCTTACACAGCCCCCACATGCATCGTATTTGTAAAAAAAACTCTTATTGATGTCTCATTGAGCTTCTGCCGGATTATAAACGTATTACATTTTTACTTTGAATCTAGAAATGTAGTCCACGTAACTGACACCGTTAGTGTGTTTACTGTTTCTTGTCACGTATTTGCGCTGCAGGTGGTCCAACCGCATCTGCCTCAACGTCCAGGGCTAATGGCAAGGCCTCTGAAGAGAGGGCCGAACTTCCTGCTGAAGTTCACTGATAAAACCCTATTGGCAAGACCATCTTTGAGCATGCTTCCCATTCGGACATCCACCGTGGCACAGGTATGGATCAATCAATCCTTACCCCTCCTTCGTGGCTCGTGTTCAGTCGTTGGCTGCACCAGGGGAATGTGGGGCTTCTGTGGAAGGGGATGATTAATTACACAGCTGTTCTGTTGGCCACATCTCCTGGTATAAACGCATAGCATTTCCATTTGTAAAAAATATGATAATCTTTGCTTTACAAAGGACCATTCGTATTGAAATATCTAAAAGAGCCAGTGAAGAAAGAAGATCAACTAGCTAGACCCTGGAACTCCTTTGGCCCGTTGTCCTTTTGAGGGCCGGGCAAAGCAAGCCAGGGTGCGACACCAGAGCCGCGAGGCCCGATGTCCTTTTGAGGGCCGGACTCGTGTGGCTGGTGATCGGGACCTGCACCGAAGCTGGGCCAGGTCAGATAGCCTCTTAAGAGAGAACCAGGATAGAGGGAACCAGGGAGCTAGTGTGGGCTAAGGCTTGGGAAACGTTCCCTCTATAGAGTATGGGTGAAGAGGTCGTTACCTCTTCAAGTATCAGATTATCCACTGTAGAGTGAAGTGTCTGTAATAAATACGTGTTGTCTCCAAAGAACAAGTCTCCGTCGTCAATAAGCCCACTACACATGGATAATGATCCTGTATATCCAGTTACCTGACTATTTTACAAGAGAGGTCTGTGATGTGAGCATAGCAGCAACAAGAAAAACTAAATAGATGAGTACTGCAGGGTCCTTAAGGAATACTACACACTAACAAACAAGGAATTTAACCATGATAAATCACACAAGTCAAAACTATGAAAATATGAGAGCAAGAGTCACCAGACAAAGTGAGGTACAGGTGCAAATAAACTTGTGGAAAACTAAATATAAATAAAAGAGCAACAAAGCAATAAGGCTGAAAACAGTTTTAAACCAGTGCACATTACCGACTCATTTAGCCTCAAAGAGCTTCCACTGAGATTATAAAGGTTGTCAGTTTAAAATTCAGAACTGGAGTACACAGAACTGATGGCATTGGTGTTGATGCTGTTGTGCAGCTGACGTTGACGGTGCAGCCACCACTACAACCGCAACTCCCGGATGAACCCCAACCACCAGCGACGGCTCCGGGGAGAAGTGTGCGAATTACAGTGGAAACCACCAACAAATCACCTGCCTTGGCATCCACCTCAGCACTGGTATGGATACAGAATGTATAGGTGGACAAATTAACATTGGTGCTCGTTTATATATTTCACCACACTCGTCTATACAAGTGTATTGATACACTCAGAGACACTAGGTATCTCGGCCTCGCTGTGCGCTGCGTTGCACCGCTATCCGAGTAGGTAATCTCACATCCAATAAACCTTCAGAGCCACGGTGAACATCCGAC